GCGGGGTTGGTGGCGGCGGGGTTGGTGGCGGCGGATTGGGCGGCGGTGGATTGGGCGGCGGCGGAGACAGCGGTGGTGGCGGCGGTGGTGGCGGAGGCGGCGGTGGCGGCAGTGGGGCTGGCGGTGGAGGGTTTGGTGGCGGTGGCGGCGGCGGCGGCGGCGGAGTCGGTGGCGGCGAGTCTGGCGGCGGCGGGGTTGGCGGCGGCGGAGTTGGTGGCGGCGGTGTCCGCGGTGGCGGCGGCGGCGGGGTTAGCGGAATAGATGGCAGAAGTGGCTGTGGTGACACTGCCACCATTTCCAAAGTTGAATCGAAACCGCTGTAGCACACAGTAACAAAACTGCCTAAAACCGTCCCTGCAGACTGCAGGAACCGACGGTTAGCCCTCGACGGCGGTCTGGCCACATTAGCGGCGGTGGGGTTTGGGCGGGAACAGGAATAATAGGCGTTAGCAGCGGCAGCAGAGAAGTCCAAGGGGTGCCCAGTATTGAGAAAAAGCCTCAAAACTGTAAGCCTCAAAACAAAGTGCAAATAATTGCTGTTGCATGTACGGCTCAACATGTACGACTTCCATGAGGCCTGACGCCGAGCTGTGCGATGCGCCTACTGGGCTACCGGCCATGTCAACCATACCGCAGCAGGGAGATGGAAAAAGGGAGGCCAGCTGCAGCTGCGTTGACTTTTATGATGTATAATATACGATGGTGACGGCGGTTGGCAGCACATTCGGGCGTGAAGGACGAAGTATAAGAAAAGGAGATAATAGAAATGGCTTGTAACTGCGAGTCCTTGCACGAGCGACCTTAACCTCGTGGGCTGCGCGTTAATCGGCCTCCGACCACCGACATGCTACTGTAAGAATGCGTTCCCGCGCGCACATCCTCTTATCGTCTTCCCGAACCTGAATCCCCAATTCCTCACGTGACAAATAACAATGCCATTTCCTACATTTGGCTTTCAATGATAACTACTGAGGCCTGATTGTAGCAAATGCCGTACATACCGTGCGATTGTACGGACTATGGGATTGTCCGAAAGATTTTCTTTCCGTACAAAGGAAATCCTTGTACGGACGATCCCTTAGTCCGTACAATCTCAAGGTATGTTATAGAGTTTTAGGGTTTGAACCCTAAGATTTATCGTCTATAATGCCGTGTGTTCAGTACGCCAAGGCGCCGTACCTGAGACGACCTGATCTGGCAAGCGGCAACGGCGGCGGCGGCAGCGGCGATGGCGGTGGTGGCAGCGGCGGCTGGGGCGGTGATGGCGGTCTTGGCGGCGGTGGCAGCGGTGGCGAAGGCGGCGATGGTGGCGAAGGCGGCGACCAGACGAATGCGGCCAGGCACGTCGTGATAGTGCTACCTGGCATGGGCTCGCCAGTGCAGATGCGGCGCAAATTATAGTTGCCGCAACGACCGAGCAGGAAGACGCCCCGAGCCAGGGGATCTCCCGTACTCCGGGGATTGCCCGCCGCCGACACCGTCGCCTCCGCCAACCGGCTTCGGAGCTCAAACAGATCCAGCGTAAGCTCCAACATGTCAGAGGAGACAGAGTAGCCTGGAGACAGAGTACAGGAGTGCAATGCGGCGCCCATGGATGCGGAAACGTCAACCCAGACGAACCGAACACAAGCACGTGAGCAATCATCCCAACTCAAATAAAAGAAAGAGAAGACAAGGATACGGTGGTGTGGATCAGGAGCTGCTGAATCGTTTCGGATACCGCACATCCTGACACATCGATGTGCGTGTTGTGTTGTGCGTGGTGCAAGTCTCAGTTGCGCGCCACTTACCCAGGTACGCCGAAACTGGGATTCCTAAGGTGCTGTCGCCGACCCGTGCGTGATCTGGCCTGAACCACAGCTCGCCCTTGAACGCATGGCCCGCGTTGCCTGGGCTGGTGTAAGATGCAAGGTTGACATCATAGCAGAGAGCCCGTTCTGGATCTATCTGGATGACCAGGGACGTGGGCGGTTCAGTAGGGGTTGGGAGTCCAGCGGCCATGTACATCCTGAACGGATAGAACCTCCTGCGCAACATGAACAGGGGCCCCGAACACACGCGTACAAATGCGTGTGGGAGGGAGGAGAAAGGGAAAAGTTTAGGCCGGGGCCACGCAACCAGGTGGCACGACGTGGGGAAGAAACGCAGGAGGCAATTGCCGAAGTGAGTTATTGTTGTCACATGGTTACCGGCCCAGACCTTCATTTCACCTCTTGTAAACGAAACAGCGGGTGGCGACGGGTTCTCTTTGGGAAGTTATCGGATGTTTCAATGCAGGAAGAGGAATCCTCTTTCCTCGGTCGCCCCGCAGGCCGATAAATAACCCGCCAAACCTGACCGTGTTGCCCTGTAGGGAGTTTGGCGCTCGCTACTGTGTGTGTGCGTGTGTGTGTATGTGTGTGTGTGTGAGAGAGTGTGTGTGTATGTATGTGGTAGGAGAAAGGCTACTCCATATGTATGGATGTGTGTGTCACACCTAAAGTGTATGTATGTATGTATGTATGTATGTATGTATGTATGTATGTATGTATGTATGTATGTATGTATGTATGTATGTATGTATGTGTGTGCTGCAGTTCCTCACCGGTTTTCCAGCTGGGCATCTGCACCCCAAAAAAGGTTGTACGGCGAGGCTGGGCAGCTGCAGTTGTGATTCTCGAACGACCCTGGAAAGCTGCGGCATCAAGGTATATGGTCAAAACCATCTCAATGGTGAAATTAGGAGGTCAGACAGGGGAAACTAAGCGGAAAATCCCCCGGTCCTGATTAGGAAACAGCAAACAGGACATAGCCGCCAGGCGGGGCAGGTCGGGACGGACAGTAAATAAGAAGAGATTCCTAACCTAGGCACCCGGGAAAACGTACAATATGCGGAAGGGCCATGTAGAACCTGGCATGGGGCCTGGCGCACTATGCTTTCATGCCCGTTGTCTCATGCATTCCTACCAGCCATGAATAACACAACGCATTTAAGGAAGCTGAAGAACGTACCACGCTTGCTTCTGGCTGTGTGCGATGCTACACCTCAGAGATACACAGCCGGGATTGAGTCATGTGTTTGTGTGTATGTGCGTGTATTTACATAAGGTGTAGTATATGTATTATATATGTATGAATGAATACATTCATACATTATCAACAATGCTCATAAGGTCTCGACTTTACCATTTTCTGAAAAAGGAGGAAGGAAATGCAACAAAACTATTTTACTGTGACAAAAGTAACACAGTTCCATTAGATCTTTATTATTGTTACTTCATTAAATTAATGATATTATTCCATCTTGCCATTCAAGACAGCTCTTCTTGTAAATTCTCCTGCTTCTGCAAACCTGATATATAAAAGGTGTAGCACCAATACTGAGGCCTACAACAAGCACACCGCACATGCATACAATCTGCACGCAATACGCTAGATCCAGACAACCGGTGACGTACGCAACGCTACCTGAAAGCGGTGGGGAAGGTGCTTCCGTCCAAGTCTGGCAAGGTCAGGTTGAGCTCTGCGCCATGTGGATCCCGAGTTACCAAGGGGGCCATTGAGCAGAATGGAGCTTCAAGGGCCGCAAATGAACCTGCAGAGCGCGTTTCCGACAGGTCATGACAGGTGACAGGACATTGGCAAGATAAAAATGAGTATTGGATAACACGGCATAAGCTGTGCAGCGCAGACCTTCGCCATTGCTGCAAGAGCTACTACTTAACATACGTGATCTATACGATATTAGGAAAAAACTAGAGGTAAGAGGAATCGCTCCCTGCACGAAAAAGAAATTGGATTTAGAGAGCGCCCCGTACAAGTACGAGGTAATCCATCCGCAGGAGACCGAAAGGAGGGGGAGCATGTAGCAAGGGCTTTTAACCCGGGGGCTTCAAATCGTTGACAAAACCTGTTCCGAGACCAAAACCTGTTCCTAAAGTCAAAAACAGCGTACACGCGCATGCTGCCTCATATAATGCTTACGCAACCAAGGATTTCATCAGTGAAAAATGGTAACCGGGATACAAATCGCGCTGACAAGGTGCTTCGCTTTCCTTACCTATGGCGCTCAAAGTTAGCGGAGGCGGCGGAGGCGGCGAAGGAGACGGCGGGGGCCTAGCCGGCCGCGCCGTCCGCCGCGGAGACGCCGTCTGACCAACCGACTCGGTGATCCCTCCTAGAAACAGGACCAACAAAACTAACGGTACCCAGGACTTCTGCGAGACGCCCCGCCATTCCAAACGCTGCATGGCACTGTACTCGCAGCCAGCCGTTGGGCGATGGCTGGCGCTTGGAGGAGTAGCAGCAAAGAAGAAGGGCTGGCGAGAGATGCAGGAAGGTGGGGGAGGATGGCACCTGTTTGATCCAGGCGGGGCACCTCCAGCCGGTCCAAAACGTGGCGATCCTCAACAAGATGATTTACGAAACCAGGAATTCAACGGCTTTTTCAGCCGGCCCGTCCCGGATTGCCGAAACCAAGAGGAACTCAGAGAACTCCGAGATGGAACTCAGGAAAGCAGTTATTAACTTTTGATTAAGGGCTGAAAGGACACGGAGTGAAATGCAAACCTAGGAACAAAGAGAATTTGCGCAAAAGAGCCGCCTGACGAACCTGCAAGCAGCAGTTAGAACCATTGCGCCGGTGTAAAAAGCTACATTCGTTGCACCAAGCTAACCAGTGCGCACCAGACCGTAATACTTCCAGGGAAAGAACAAACTGGAAGACGGTATACTCAATAGTAGAACGAGCAGAAGCTGCCGCGAAGAGAAGTCCTCAAAGAGCAGTTTCAGCACGTCCGCGCTTTAGCACAAATTGCATATTATAGACACGTTCATGCCATGAGCGCTATCGACTAAAAGCGGCTCAATACGACGTTCGATCAGTGATAGAGGTGACGTTCGAGGTACTTCGGCTACCTCAACATACCTGCGTGTGCACCAATCAAGCAGTGCTACACTGAACAACTTCAAGCTTGATGGTCTGCAATGACAAAAAGAGCCAAGTTTGCGTGGGAAAATCAATTCCTCGCAAATGAGCTAGAAACAAACCCCACATGCATTGCGCATTATGCACCAGCGGGCATCAGAAAGCAATCTAGTTTTTATTTGCCATATCGGTGAACCTATTGCCATGTTTAAGCGTTGGACACTATTCAAACTATACGAGATGCTCCAGAAGTGCGAAGAAGCACCCTTACCAACCCTTTTGAGTTAAAAAAAGTGTAGAAGCTGCCACGTACAAAGAAGACCTCGCCACGTTCGAAAATGCGCTTGGGCGTTGTGCACCAGCTTGAGCCACTGTTGACAGTATGGCTGCGGAACACTGCTAAGATCCTATCACCGCGTCATATTGACACGTACAAACAGAGTGTGCAAAGAGTGCGTTAGTGGACAGCAGGTAAGAGGAAGAAAGGTCATCACTAAAGCAGGTCTTGCGTCATGAGCTCCTAGCCTTGGAGCTAGGAACAAGTGAACTTACAAGACAACGTCTGTCGCCAGACGCCTCCTTAGATATACCTAAGAATGGCACGAATATACATGATCCATTGCTGATCGTCGAATGGACGCCGTACCGATCACTGTCGGTCGGACATGCAGAATTCATCGAACCTCAGGGAGGCCATGTTGATATGCTTACCTTACTCTGTGGATTCTCATCAAACGACACGAACCTGAACTATACTTCCTATCGTTGGTTATGGGCTTCTTAGGCTAGGTCACATCGACATCGCAGTGATGGCGAAGACTTTCTAGCGCTATTGGCAAAAACTTGCGTTTCAAGCAAGTAGCACGGATAATATGAGTGTTTATAATAATCGGTGCCAAACTTTAAATAGTCGTTCGGGTTCTGTAGTCCTAACAGGTTCCAGGCTGACAGTAACATGCGGTTGCACTTTGTACATCGCGTATTATACTTCTATGAGATTCATAACTGACAGTATTTGATAAATTACACTGCACTAAGGTTCCGGTGCAACGGTGGTCTGGGACATCTGCGGCCGCGAAGTCGATGGACCACCGCTTTCCGAACTAGGCCCCAGCTAGGTTGATTGTAATGAAATATGACTGAGCTTATTTCTATCGATTCCATTAGATATGAGGAAGAATGATTGGTGGCCTACCAGTTATTGACCTTGCCCCTCTTACTTAGCCGTACGTACATGTTATGGGCGCAGTTTGTGCATTGAAGCTACGGACGACTCCTCAGGTAATTGGCATGTCAAAGCATTATTTTGAGCAACTACATGAGCAACTAAGGGAATATGAAAAGCCCCGCTCGTTGCAACCCGTTGCAACGAACAGGCTACTGCACTCACCAGCTACTAACCAAGAAAACTAGCACCTCACAAATGTAGCCTTGATGAAAAGTCATTTTGATGTATATATAACTACCTGATTTTGTTTCGACCGAAGTCATTTTTCGGTCTAACCGTTGGTTCAACGCCATTGCGAAGTCAATGGTCTCAGGCAGTAGCGACGGATTGGTCGTTCGGGTTGTAGCAAATGCATCATCCACTTATATCCTGTAGAGGCTACACGCCGGCAGCTTCCCGCCCACATACGAATCTACGCATACCAGGCCATGCCCTCCAAATACAATATGGCATACAAACGTACAAGCCAGCCTTGAATAAATCCCATTACATTTGGTCCCAAGGACCGTCCATGCGGGCTGAACCCGCAGAAGGATCCCTTGAGACAAGACTGTCCACAGCATGCCCCCTTCACCCTGAGGTTTGCGCCTTGACGTTGGTGCTCCTCTAAAGCACCGTTAGTGCAGCGACGCCCCACCTATCACCTGTCCCGCGCGCCTCGAAGTGCCTTATGCACCGTCCATGCAAAGGACTCAAACAAGCCGTGCTACATAAGCAAATTTCAAACGTGTCATGTTACAGCGTAGGGCCTGTGCATATGCGAACCAGGATACATGAGGGCATTTCGTACTGTGGCGCGGGATGTATGCCATAGAGGTAGGCCTACTCCAACACCATCAAGTGGCTGCTACGGTGTCGAGCAGCGAGGGATGGCGCTAGTAACGAACGAGCAGTGTCCGTGCCTGCTGTTGTCAATGCCGTCATCAAGCCAGGCACAACCTGTCCCAGCCAGCCTGGGATAGGAAGAGGCGTTGACACGACTTCCTGCCTCATGCTGGGGGATAACCTTGGCCCCTCTTGGGCCTCAAATCAGTTGCCAGTCCATCTCTCAAGTGATTAATCTGATAACCAATAGCCTCTACAGCAACAGCAAAGCGATCATCAGCATCCCGTAACTTGCATCCGCGCGCCATATCCTCAGGCCTGCTAGCCACGCATCTATTTTCCATACCCCTGCCACACTCGACGGTGCGCTAACACAGGTATTTGCTATGTCTGTAGGTATGCTATCGAATCCCCTCTCAGCGCTACCTGCTTCGTTGGCAGCACGTGCGCATGGAAGCAATTCACGCGCGCGCAGCTGTAGTAGCTGCGCGCTGCTACAGCAACACTGCTACAGCGCGCACCATCCGCACACTGTATGTGTTGTCTCCAGTCTTTCCGGCTTCGCTCACACTATGCCCAACTCAACACTTCGCGCCCTCCAAATGAAAGGTTTAACTCCTGCATCCGGGCGACGCACTGCTGCTGGCGAAGGAGGCCCTATATTTGTCGGACTGGTCAAGGTGCGCATCGAGCTCGCATCTCCATTGGCACCGACAGCAATTGAAATGTCGCGCACAACATTAACTCCCTTACAGCAACCACGTAACACATTAGTTCGGGCGATAGTTTGCGGTTGAGATGTATGATTAGATGCGCCTTACCTCCTAAAATTTATGATCTATCCAGCGGCACCATGGTGTACAGTGGTCACTGTACACCACTCCACAAGTCTTGGAGACACTATTGCAATTTGTGATGTAAGGTCCTCGGTTCGGTAGACCCCAACATTGTCGGGAGCGTAAGTTTATGGCTAGCTGCTGAGATGTGAAGTCGAGGTCACAGTTGATGGACCGAGTTTCGCACGCTGGATTGGTGGCGACTACTGAACCCTCTGTCTCAATTCTAGATATGGCAATCCAAATGTGTGCAAATGGCCCAGAAGCCTCCCACTCTGTAACAACATCAACGTCAACAACAGCAACAACAAACACGCACCTACCCTCACCTACACACGTAGATGTCGAGGCTTGCAACTGCACTTGCACGACCACGGAACCGGAAAAAGTGATTTCAGCGCCTTGCAAGCGACGGTTTCTTAACATGTAATATGACAGGTTGGGCCCCCCACAGCCTAGAACAGAAAAGTACATCAAGAGATCGAGAAACAAGAGTAACGGAGCGCTTTCACTTTTCCATTCACCCTGCACAATCCATCAAACTTAATTTTCGCTATCCCATTAAAAAATTCAGGCGTTACAACTCCGTAAGGCTCTATGATATCATAGGCAGGCCGAAGCTCGATACCTCCTCGGTACCTAGGAGCAACAAGTTGCACTCACAATCGGCAACAAAACACACACGCGTGTATTAAGTACCAGAAAAGATATTCACAAATGGTAAAGAGGAAGGCAAAGGCACGCAGCGATGCATGGCGGGCAGAGAAACGCATCTTGATGCATGCACTGCAGGCAGCGCCCACAGACGATCACTCAGACGGACACTCCGATCCTTGACAAGCTACTAGCCAGCACGCATTATGCGCCGATTCGAGCTTCGCGTGCTCTGATGGAGAGAGAAACAGGGGTATACAATACCAGACCAAGGAAGGGAAGTGCAACGCTCGCGGGACATGACCGCAAGCATATCGCAGTCGCCTTATTGTAAGCCTCAGGCTTTCCCTGGACTTCTAGGTCCAGTCATCAGACCTGGCTAGACAAGTAGCCACTATTTCCTGCTTCCCGCAGTCTAATTTCTACTAGATGCGGCCAATCGACAGCAAACTACGTGGCTACACACATTCCCCACCGTGTCTAACATTTTAAGGGTGTCAAACGCACCTGGCACCGGAAAGCACCGTACGGGTATCAGACTCAATTGCCTCGATGCCCCTGAACCCCTACGTCGGTGAAGAGGCCTGAAGCTACGGGACTGCATGGCCCTAACCAACCCACCAACCACCCGAGGCCCCCATATTGACCATCCGGGTTTGGACAATGCAATCGGTGCGGCCGTCCGAGCTACCTGCGTTTGTCTGTAACAAAAACACCAGCAGACGCAACCCGCCGTCCTGACATCCGAAATAACATACATATATACATACGTACCTCGGCATTCAAACGCTAACACAACGTATGCGCCGCAGTGCTGTTAACCAAATTCACAATTGAACTGCGATGCAGCACGTTTCCGCTCTGTCAGCGGCGGGATGTGCCCCCTTGCATTTTAAGCATAGGGAACGATAGTAACCACCGCGGCTCGATCCCCCATGCCCGTGGTTACTGCCACCACGTTGGCTCGGTTCTCCATGCATAAGTACCTGTGTACCTGCTCATGCTCTGGACGACTGGACCAGCCAGGGTTTATTGCCAGTAAGATAAATAACCTGGTAACAAACCCGAGTACAGCGCGTGCTGCTGTCCCCTGCCCTCCAGGGCTCGCAGCAGCGGCGACCCAGCTGCCATTCAGCCCGTGAGCAGCTGCAGCTGCGTGTCCAATACTACTTGTACCTCCACACTCAGCAGCACGAAAATGCTTGCTCGGTATTGCTTTTCAACGCGACTCCTTAAGTCTTGTTGTTGATCAAAGAATGGCCCGGCAGATGGATACGAAACGATGTTGAGGCGTGTCCACGAATGAGAAGAGGCACGACCCGGTGGTTGCGTGCTTGCAATATCTGCTGAAGGCCCCCACCAAGTTGCACTTCTGGACCATGAAGGTACCGTTGACGTAGTCGCCCTTGAGCCCGTAGATGAAGAGCTCGATATGCCCCTGGTCAACTGATGTACCTGCGAGCGAGTGATTGGTCCAAATAACGGGATGACAGTTGGTAAGCCAGGCCTCCTAGAGTTCCCATCTAGTAGCGCAGGTTTGCAGCGTTTCGTGTGAGGGTTTGACGCACCTTCGTTTGCATATGTATTTACATGTAAATGATGCGTCCCGAAACGATATACCCAATGATTCGTGGGATCCTGCTGCCCGTGTGAGGGCCAGTGTTTTTTGTAAGTAATATATTCCTTATAAGGAATAAAGAGGCCATTTTGGCCTTTGGAAAAACGGAATGAATTGAGGCCGATCCGTACATTTTCATTCCTCCAGCCAAAAACGTCCATTGCTGCCAGATTGCTCCGTAGTGTGCAGAACTTAGTATTATCGATCATAGACTAGATATGAGGGGCCGTAAGAAGGTCAAGCCCGTGAGTCAACGCGGCATAGCAGAATGTATGACCGGTCCTCACATAGCCAAACACGCAAAAGGCAACGACTTGAACGTCGAACAAACACCAAAACAGCAAGATAAGCCTGAAAATTTTCCTGATAAAGGCTTTTGCTTGGTCGGATTTACTTATTGCTCACAAACAGTGCCAGAACTATCTATGCATGTGCATGAAGAGTGCGCACATGGACGAAAACGCGCCAACTCAGTGCGTGAATCTTGGTCTATGAGGGGAGTCGTAACTTATCGGGGGGGGTCTGGGGGGGACGTANCCCCCCCCAGCGCCCCACACTTACGGAATAAATTACGGCGACCCTAGCAACTTTGTTACTTAGGTCGGAATAAATTGAGACCCCCCCTAAATGAAAAAAAAATCACTGGTGAGGGCCCCGTACATATGCGTTCGCAAAATGGTGACGCAGACAACCGACCGCAACGCCGGGATCAAGCAGACACCTCAGTCTCCGCTTATAGGGGTCCGCCAATATTTCTTTCCGGCTCCGAGGAAGCCGACACGCCTTATCTTGAAGCGATCGAGGAGATGGTGCTCAGTGAACTAGGCATTAGGCCGTCAGCGGCCAGTCCGCACTCACGCTAGCATGCCTAAGCACTAAACCTGAAGGTGCTTGTACGTTTTCCCTTCTGTGCGTGCTGCAAGCACTACACACTAAGCCCACAATAGAACAATCGTTAGAGTGGGAGACTCACCCACGCGGGCTTGCGTGAAATTCGGGACTCCGGTAGTGTTGGCATCAGGCCAGAAGCGGACGCCCCTGCGGCGATAGGCGTGTATGTGTATGGTTGTTAAAGTGGGCTCCAGATTCACGAAGAGTAGAGCCGGTGGGCCAGCTGGCCGTGCACTGGACTAGAGGCAGGCGTGTTGAACTTTAGAGCTGCGCGTTTCGGATGGTTTGCGTGGGAAATCATTGCATGGAAGAACATGAGTACCTGGCGAAGGACGCCCATTACAATTGCAGCAATGCCCTACTGCTAGCCACCCTTGTCGCTGGTCACGGGCCATGATGTGCGAGTTAGGAGAACATTTGGGTGGTTCAAAATGCGAGTTCAAAACAGCGAGCAGTACTGCTGTGAGAATACTGATCTTGTTATCATGCGTTACCTGCCGAGCAGTAGGTTGGAATGACGCAGATACAATTCCTCCCGGAGGGTGGGTGCGTGGGAGACATTGTTATGCAAAGCAAGGATATAACTCGAGGTGCACCGAAAGGTATGGCGAACACATTTATTGTTATACACAGTGCGGCATATTTTATCAATAAATCAGAAGCGAGTCGTAAAAGTCGTATTGGTAAGTATTGCAACAACGGTAGTTGTTTAGCTTCGCTTCCAGGCCATAGATTGCAATCGAAAAAAATTATGGTGCACATCTCAAGAGGCTGTTTGATTGCAAAATCTAGATCCGCGCGGGCCAGGTCATATACATAATTACCGAAAAGTCGCAAAACATTTTATGGCCTCACCGATAGTCGTAGCCTGGGTCGATGGTCGTCATGCGGCTTTGGTTAAAGCACAGCAGTGCGCGATAATCGACGCGTATGGCAATTTTGTTGATGGCCTCCGTAGTAACACTGCGGCGGGCAGATCAGGGTCGCCATTTACCAGGTTACAAACGGTTAAATGGGGCGTCGTGACCTTGCAGTCTAGATCACTGCTCGTGAGAAAGATCGTGGTTCGCCAACTACTTGATAGGTGTTCCCTTTACTGCTTCTATGCTGTGACATACATGTACCACATTATAAAGTATAATTCCAGTATTATTTGCATTCTAGCGGTCTCGGAGTGCTGTCCTTGTCCTATATGATGTGTGAAACAGGAGGGTGTATCTTCGCCCGTGGCAGCTACCCTGCGAAACCCTGCCTTCCCCGGTATTTCGGGGCACCCTCATCCAGTCACCCTAGTTAACCTCTCAGTGGATCGCTCAGGTTCCGCACCCACCACCAGTATTCAACGGAATCTGCCGGGTCGACAGCGGCCCAACCCCATTCCTGGTCGGCTCGCAGGTTAACTTTATCCCAGGTCACCGCCGTCCATCAACCGCCGTCCATCCACCATCGGAAGGACTTTTAACCCTAACGGGTATCGATCCCGGGATCTCCCGGGGGCAATGGTCGTGCCTTACCAGTGGTGCCAAGCCCTATATGTTGCAGGCTGCCAGGCTCGCTGCACTATTTATTCAGGGCCACGCTGATATCGTGAAACGTATATGCTCCTACATCCCGTATCCATCTATCCGTGCAATTGTGCATGTGCGGTGACCAGAGGCCCGACATTTGCATCATCCCGGCCGAAACGAAACTTACTCGCAGACGGAGGCTCCTTCTGCCATGATTGACCTGTCGCAAGGTTTGGGTTGTAGCCGGAAAGTGTAGAATGTCCTGCAATGCAAAGATACGGCCACCAGACGTGCCAAATTAGGCGAAGATAAGCTGACCATCATGAAGGTGGCCTCATCCACTGAGCAGTTCGCCGGGTAGCCCACACCCTCTTCATTAAAGAGGCGACGGGCTCTTCGGAGGTACTGGGTGAGGCTATTCTTATTTTGCAACGGACCTTCCATCGTTTATGGTCTCATTTACGATGGGAAAATGAACAAAAAGAGGTTTGGTGGCGTCTCTCGGTTGAGGATGGGGTACCTATGTTAGGAAGTTCCCATCTCAGGATGTCGCGGCCAGCAGTGTGTGGTGGTGGAGGTGATCCAGTACATTCCCTGGGAGTGTTTCCCCTCGCTGTCATCACTTCTGGGCCTTTCCGGTGGCACAGGCAGTAGCAGATCAACTCACTCTTTCGATAGGATTGCCAGCACGGTGGTACAGGACCTTCCTGAAATGGTCGGGTTGCCGGTTTTCCCCTTCCCATGCCCGTCGGGCCCACCCGATAGCGTTTTTGCATAACTTTCAATTTCTGTCGGGTGCCCCGATAGCCCATCCCAAAACCTGTCGGGTGACGCAAGAACGAAATTTCGCTGTATGCCGCTTGAAATTACATTTATTCGTATTTTATATGTGTGCCCTTCGCTTATGTATCCAAGCACGGATCCCTGTACAGCAGAGTCAAAGGATAAAGAAGAAGAGGCAACGAAGTGAACGAATGCTACCACTACATTACATATTTCCATCCAGTTATATTTGTATGAATGCCATTATGTATCGCTCTAGCTGTCCGTCGCCGGAGGGCCAACCGACGACCCACGGCACCTAGCGCCCCAAACCCTGTCGGGTCCCCAGACGGGAGCCCTCCGGGCCCCGTCGGGGGCTCCCGATGGCCGTTTGGCGTTTTCCCCCTTTTTCGTCGGGTCCGCGCGACAGCATTTTCCAAAGCCTGTCGGGACTTTCAGCACAAGTGCCATTCCTGTCGGGACCCGATCGGACTGTACCACCCTGATTGCCAGTCTCAAGAGAACAACTTTGGCTTGTCCAAGCCCCACAAACAGTGCAACAATGTGTTTGGGATGTTGTGGCTCTTGCTGCGGTGTCAGCCATGGAGCATGGGAGGCGATATATGATGTGTGAAACAGGGGGGTGTATCTTCGCCCGTGGCAGCTACCCTGCGAAACCCTGCCTTCCCCGGTATTTCGGGGCACCCTCATCCAGTCACCCTAGTCAACTTCTCAGTGGATTGCTCAGGTTCCGCACCCACCACCAGCATCCAACGGAATCTGCCGGGTCGACAGCGGCCCAACTCCGTTCCTGGTCGGCTCGCAGGTTAACTTTATCCCAGGTCACCACCGTCCATCAACTAGGGGCGCAATGCCTTCCACCATCGGAAGGACTTTTGACCCTAACGGATATATGGTTGCAAACATGAAAACCAACCCGGCACTGTTACCTGGCCCTTCCCTTACAGAAGGAGCCATTTGTCGAGTTATTGTTGACTTTTGGGGCCGCTTCGCAGCTCTGGGAATTCCACGGAAAGGTTGGGATTCTGTTGGCGCACATCACCCCTTCTTGCGAATTGTATCAGGCAAATTGCTATGCTAAATTGCTTGTCCATCGGTGACCGATGGACGATTAGCTATCACCATTTTTTTATTCTCTTTATTGGAGGACTTTTCAGGCTCAGGCCCATTTCAATAATAATGGGGGGTCCTCAGCCTTCCCTTTCCTCGCGGTTTGGCTGCCTAATTGCCTTTAGTTGTCTCATCTGGGTGATTGTCTAATTCGTATATTAGTCCCTAATGCAGTGCACGGCCAGCTGACCCGATGGCTCTACTCTTCGGGAGTCTGGAGCCCACTGTAACCACACACACACAGTTCAGGGCCACATTGATTTTTCTTGACACGGCTCAGTTATTCACTAAGCACAGGAGCCAGAGCGATGCGAAGTTCTAGTCCTGTGCTGATGGCTGTGGTTACCTGGGGAATACCAGGACACCGCCCGAATCCGTACTTTGTAAGTACAAAACTCGTATACGATCATGCGTATGAATGGCATGTCAGATTGTCACACGTTTGGTGCTTTGTGAATAAGCGGTATAAACAATTGGCGATGCTCTATTCCTGGATTGTTGTATAGCAACGACGCGTAAGGCCCATGCCCTGGACCGTTGTTATATGACAACGGCACGGTACGGACAGCGTTTTCTGTGCCCCTGCATGTCATGTCAGCGCAACCTTACGGACTATCTTAAGAACGCTCCCCGCCCGCCCGGTGGCATAGCGTCTAACACCCGACATTCTCGCCGTAAGTAAACCCCCTTCCTTTTTACTTCTTTTAGAACTATAGCAGCTCTCGATGGCACACATAGCAGGACTGCCCCTCAGCGTAATTGGCAGTTGTGTGCGGAGGCCATGCTTCCGTTTGATCAGCAGAGTCACGAGAAGAATAGTGTAGACCGGCACAAATGCAGATCGAGTGTAGCGCCGGCGTGCTTAGTAGTGAAGATTACGGCATGTGATGTAGTTGCTAAGGACGAAGTAGCACCACCATGCTCACGCAGTGATTCGACCCATGGTTCGTCAAGGCAAACTAGGGATCCGTTGGCCCGCCAATCGGTCCTAGTTTGACCCTACGTTAATCGCGTTTAAATGACAACTTTTCTTCGCCGTCATAGGCAAACAGGTCCAAACAAGGACTGGCGTGAAGCAATTAGCCACACTGTTCGCATTAGGTACTGGTAACCTCCTTCTACTCCAACTGCAACTGCTACTTAACTACTTCTACTGCTACGTAAACACTGCTACTGCTATTACTGCGTTCATTCCTATGATCGCTACTGCTACTGCTACTGCTACTGCTACTGCTACTGCTACTGCTACTGCTACTGCTACTGCTACTACGACTAGTGCTACTGCTACTGCTACTAGTGCTACTGCTAGTGCTACTGCTACTCGAACTTACTGGTTACGGAAAGTCATCTCGGGACCAACTACGAAGTCGTACGGTGATGATTCACATGCGCACACGTTCGACTTGAACTGGCCGTACGGGAACTGATCCGTGTCCACGAACACGGAGCCTTTGGTTCCCGCCACTCGACAGCTTACGGACGTGTTCCCTGGGCCGCGAGGAATGGAGCACACGGATTTGTCGTACAGGGTCGTCACACAGCATAGGGGTAGGTCCTGCATCCATCCTACGGATAGGTCCTAAACGCTTCTCACTGATGTACAGAAGTACGTTAAAGAAAGACAACAGATGAGGATAGATGCGCATGCGTGTGCGCAGCTCGACGTCCATAGGATCACAACTCGCTTGTCTGCACTGCTGCTGCTGCTGCTGCTGCTGCTGCTACATTCATCATTTGCTCCCCTCGCTGGCCTCGAAGAGATCATAATTCATACACAATGCATATTGCATATCAACCCCATGTCATCCACTCCACCATATATTTCACTTCACGCCGAAGTATATGGGCCTGCATTGACAGCCAGGTCCTTCATTTCACCTTACCTACAAAGCTCGGTGCGAGCGGTGGCGCGGGTGGCGCGGGTGGCGGGCTGGGGGACGTGGGTGGTGGGCGCGGTGATGCATGCGGAGCCGGCGATGGAGGGCGCGGGCTGTCCAGCGGCGGGTTAGGCTTTTTGGAAGGAGGCGTCGAGACAGCTGGCGGCGTCCGCACTGGAGTCGGGTACGCGGGGTGCTTAGGGGAGGTCGGTGTCGCCGGCGGCTGCAGCGGCTGCTCGGGCGGTGCATCCGGTGTGGATGGCGGAGGCGGGTCCACTGCAGGTGGTTGCCAAAGAGGCTCTGAGGGCGCCGACGGAATAGGCGAACGTGGCGGAAGCAAAGGAGCAGGTGACGGCGGTGTCGGGCTGGGCGGCGGCGGTGACGGCGGTGTCGGGCTGGGCGGCTGCGGTGATGGCGGTGTCGGGCTTGGCGGCTGCGGTGACGGCGGTGAAGGGCTGGGTGGCGGAGGTGACGGCGGTGTCGGGCTTGGCGGCTGCGGCGAAGGCGGTGTCGGGCTGGGCGGCTGCGGTGATGGCGGTGAAGGGCTTGGCGGCTGAGGTGACGGCGGTGAAGGGCTTGGCGGCTGCGGTGAGGGCGGTGAAGGGCTGGGTGGCGGAGGTGACGGCGGTGTCGGGCTTGGCGGCTGCGGCGAAGGCGGTGTCGGGCTGGGCGGCTGCGGTGATGGCGGTGTCGGGCTGGGTGGCGGAGGGGATGGCGGTGGTAGGCTGGGCGGCTGCGGTGAAGGCGGTGTCGGGCTGGGCGGCTGCGGTGAAGGCGGTGTCGGGCTGGGCGGCTGCGGTGAAGGCGGTGTCGGGCTGGGCGGCTGCGGTGAAGGCGGTGTCGGGCTGGGTGGCGGAGGGGATGGCGGTGTTGGGCTTGGTGGTCGTGGCGATGGAGGTGCAGGGCTTGGCGGCTGAGGGGATGGGGGTGCAGGGCTGGGTGGCAGAGGCGACGGCGGTGGTGGGATGGGCGGCTGCGGTGATGGCGGTGTCGGGCTGGGCGGCGGAGGTGAAGGCGGGGCCGGGCTGGGCGGCGGAGGTGAAGGCGGCGCCGGGCTCGGCGGCGGAGGTGACGGCGGTGCCGGGCTCGGCGGCGGCGGTGACGGCGGCGCCGGGCTTGGCGGATCCGGCGATGGGGGCGTTGGGCTGGGGGGTTGAGGTGACGGCGGCTCCGGGCTTGGCGGCTGAGGTGAGGGCGACGCCGGGCTTGGCTGCTGAGGTGACGGCGGCGCTGGGCTTGGCGGCTGCGGTAACGGCGGCGCCGGACTGGGTGGTGCCGGCGACGGCGGCACTGGGCTTGGTGGCTGAGGTGACGGCGGCGCCGGGCTGGGCGGCTGAGGTGACGGCGGCGCCGGGCTTGGTGGCTGAGGTGACGGCGGCGCCGGGCTTGGCGGCTGAGGTGACGGCGGCGCCGGGCTTGGCGGCTGAGGTGACGGCGGCGCCGGGCTGGGCGGCTGAGGTGACGGCGGCGCCGGGCTGGGCGGCTGAGGTGACGGCGGCGCCGGGCTGGGCGGCTGAGGTGACGGCGGCGGCGATGAGGGTGCTGGGCTAGGCAGCTGAGGTGTCCGCGGCGCCGGGCTTGGCGGCTGAGGTGACGGCGGCGCCGGACTGGGCGGTGCTGGCGATGGCGGCGCCGGGCTTGGCGGCTGAGGTGACGGCGGTGAAGGGCTGGGTGGTTCCGGCGAAGGGGGCGACGGGCCTGGCGGGGGTGGCGAGGGGGGCGCAGGGCTTGGCGGCTGAGGGGATGGGGTTGCAGGGCTGGACGGCGGCAGCGACGGGGGCGTCGGACTTGGCGGTTGAGGTGACGGCGGGGAAGGGCTTGGCAGCTCCGGCGACGGCGGCGCTGGGCCTGGCGGTGGTGGCGATGGCGGCGGTGGGCTGGGTGGTGGTGGCAATGGTGGCGACGGGCTTGGCGGCGGAAGTGATGGGGGCTTTGGGCTTGGCGGTGGAGGGCTTGGCGGTGGTGGGCTTGGCGGTGGTGGGCTTGGCGGTGGAGGGCTTGGCGGTGGAGGACTTGGCGGTGATGGGCTTGGCGGTGGAGGGCTTGGCGGTGGAGGGCTTGGCGGTGGAGGGCTTGGCGGTGGTGGTTCTGGGCCTCGCGGTTCCGGCAATGGCGGAGTCAGCCGCGGAGGCGGCGGCAATGGCGGCAATTCACCAAGTATTCCCGGCGAG